CTAGAGAAATTGTAATTTTTATGTTCCACATTGTATCTCTCAGAAAATCAGTTGTTGGGAAAGTAGGTCTCTAATAGGAGATTTCTATTGAATCCATGTTCTGCAAATTCTCAGTTTAGAGAAGAACACTTCTTAAGAAACTTCCCAATCGAGTTGTAACCTTATTTTTATGTATCACATCAATTTGGCTTTAAACTTCCATTTAGAGAAAATCAGTTTACAGAAGATTGTTATTGTTCAGCTCGTAGTTTAGCTTAAAAGTAACTACAGAAAAATCAACTCGCAGTTTTATTGGGTAATGCAGATCATCTCTTAGGCCTTAGGTTTTCGAGTATGATAGTTTTCAAGTGTTGTACAAAGTTCTATTGAGTGTGTCTATTGAGTCTCTAGTCTCTATATTCTGCAAATTCTCAGTTTAGAGAAGATCACTTCTTAAGAAACTCCCTAATCGAGTTGTAACCTTATTTTCATGTATCACATTAATTTGGCTTTAGCTTCCATTTAGAGAGAAACTGTTTACAGAAAACACTTTCTGTCTTCCAGAATCCCTTGTTTAAAAGGGAAGAAACTGATTGTTCAGCTCGTAGTTTCGCTTAAAAGTAACTACAGAAAAATCAGCTCGCAGTTTTAGTTTTATTGGGTCATCTCTCATCTCTTAGGCTTTACTCAGTTTTTAAGTATGATTGTTTTCAAGTTTTGTACAAAGTTTTCTTTGACTAAGGGCCGGTATTTCAATGTTTCCTTAAAATCAAGACTTACAAGGTACCCCTAACGTTAGCACTAAAGTGAGCTGAGAGAGCAAACATTTTTTGTACCAAAATTAAAGACAAATTGTACCAGATTCAATAAAAATGTACCAGCCTATAATGCGCATGCGTTTCCTGAAAATGAGGATGATTTTTGATCCAGTACGATAAAAGCACGAAGCACGTTCTGTTTTGATTTGATGAAAAGTGAAAACCTAAACTAAACACAAACTACGTCAACCAAGAACCACAAAACGAGTGTTATATTGGTGGCGCCATCTATTTACAAATCAGAAATTATTGTTATATCGAATTTAGATACAGAAATACCAATAAATTAGAACATCAACATTAGACTAAGTAGGCAGTAGGCTAAGACTGTTTGAGAATTTGGGAAAAATAAAAAAATTGAAAATTGTACCAAATATACCAACGTCGTACCAGCGTACTTTTTTAAAGCGAATGGTACCAAATTTGGTACCATTGTACTACCTCTAGTAACACTGAGTGAGCTTGAAATAAGGTCATTGAGGTGGCTTGAGACAGTATTCCAATGTCACCCTAAGGGACAGGAGAACATTGTCATGCTTAATACAAATTTCACTTTTGGCTATATGCATGATTTTTTTAAGGGATATTTAATATAAGTGGAGCTTTGAATGTTACTTTTATTTCTACAGAAGTCACATTCAAAGCCCCTCTTAGATTAAATATTCCTTAACTTGTAGCCATATATATCAAAGTTCCCTTAAGATCCACCTTGATCTTAAGCCACCCAAATAAACTGATTTTAAGTTCACCTTGACGCTTAACGTTAAGGTTACCTTAGGTAAGTCTTGATTTTTGGGTAACATTGAAATACCGGCCGGTAAGATCCACCTTGAATCAAGGAAACTTTGATATACAGTGAAACTTGTATTAAGGATGACTATTCACCTACCTCAAGTACCCTTAACGTTAGCACTAAAGTGACTTGAAATCAGTTCATTGAGGTGGCTTAGGGACGGTATTTGAATGTCACCTTAAGGGACAGAATAACGTTAAGTCATAAGTACTTAATAATACAAGTTTCACTATACATCAAAAGTTCCCTTAATTCAAGGTTGATCTTAAGCCACCTGATGGCCGTTTGCACAGATTCCACTTAACTCGTTTTAAGTGGACTTTAACTTTAGGTGTCCCTCAACTAATTATTTTTCGTTGCACAGTCGTCTAACCGGCACTTAAGCCAAACTTAAATGAGAGCAAGATAAACCGAAGATTTCTTTGGGCTTAAACTGACCTCTAACAGTTTTATTTTAATTTGTTATTTTTTTGTCATTAATGAAAGTTCGCGTAGTGGCGAATCTTTCGTTCTGGACTGGTTTTCTGTCGTTTGAGAGATGGTATTTTCTTCCATGCATCATCTTTTTGACCCCAAGTTTACAGAGTCTGTTTTTTAGGGTGTTCATTTGTACTGCTTTTCTTCCTTCAAGCAGATCTCAGCAGCAGATCGGCGTTCACTTGTCCCATATATCATAAGCTCATAAATAGCAACTACGAATGAACATCCTATTTTTGTTTTCAATTACCCCTTTAAAGGCAAATATAGTGTTCAATAACATTGCTTTTTCTCTAGGCGAACAATTTGGAGGTTCTACGTAACCCCACGAACTTAACCTAGAAAAATCAAAACAAACAACAAACACACAGAACAACAAACTCTTAACTTTTTGACAAAAAAGTTACTATTAACAACTTGATATGTTCCTAGATAGTACTATATTTTGAAAAGTTGCCGGTTTTACCTACCATTTAGGTAAACTTTGGACAAGGGGAACTCTTGCTAACAAAATAATCATTAGAATACAAATCAGATTTAAGTTACACTTACGTAGGAGTGAATTTTGAGGGAAATCCGTGCAAACGCCATAAATGAACCGATTTCAAGTTCACCTTAATGCTTAATGTTAAGGGTACCTTAGGTAAGTCTTAATTTTAAGGTTACATTGAAATACCGGCTGTAAAGATCCACCTTGAATTAAGGAAACTTTAATGTACGGTGAAACTTGTATTAAGGATGACGTTTACCTACCCAAGGTACTCTTAACGTTAGCACTAAAGTGGACTTGAAATCAGTTCATTGAGGTGGCTTAGGGATGGTATCTCAATGTCACCTTAAGGGACAGAATAAAGTTAAGTCATACTTAATACCAGTTTCACTATACATCAAAGTTCCTTTAATTTAAGGTGGATCTTAAGCCACCTGAATGGACTGATTTTAAGTTCACCTTAACACTTAAGGTTAAGGGTACCTTAGGTAAGTAAGTTAAGTCTTGATGTTAAGGGTAACTTAGGTACGTCTTGATTTTAAGGTAACATTGAAATGCCGGCCCTTAAGATCCACCTTAAATTAAGGAAACTTTTATATTAAGGAAACTTGAAATGCATTACCACTACATCAAAGAGAGTATTCACAGTGCCGCATTTAAAGCCCTAGGCAAATACGAAAAAAATGAAAGAAGGCCCTCACCTTATTAGTGAGGTCAAGAAATAGAGAAAGACATAGCAGATAAAAGGAAGAAATACCAACAGTATCTAAGTTTATATAAGACAAAAGACAAAGAAAAGAAATATATAAAAAAGCACAAGCCAGATTCCGGAATAAAATAGTAAAGAAAAAAAACGAGTCATAGAAAAGAAACTGTACGCATATTAGGTAATACTTATCTGGGAGGTAAAAGAAACAGAGAAAATTGGAGATTGCTGAAAAACACGAGCAAAACAAAAAGCAAAACAATAAGAAAGGAGACAGAAACAAATGCGAGAACCACCGAGGAATTGCAGTAACAAATACGCTGGCAGAAAGAACTTAAACAGGGATGTTGCATATCACCAACACTTTTTAAAGTATACTTAGAACAAGCGCTTAAAGGGTTGAAAAAAAAAAATGGAGACACATGGGAATACCGCTCAATGAATACAATCTATATATTTTAAGCTTTGCAGATGATCAAGTAACAAAATATCAACAAAATCAGAATATAGGTACAACACCATAGTCAGAAGCATAGTCAGATAGTGCAGAAGTCTGGCCACCCCGCAAAAATGCTGGAAGCAACTGGAATGGACTTTTGGAGGAGATCGGCAGGCAGGTCAAAAATGGAAAGGATAACAAATCTGAGAATTAGAGAGAATATGGATGTAAAACACACAATAGTAGATGATATAAAGGACATAAGCAGCTGATTTAGTTCGGACATGTACAATGGCAGATACAATAATACCCAAGCAAATTATTGAGTGGAAGCCAGGGGGAAGAAGAAGACGTGGCAGACCAAGAAGAAGCTGGAGAAGTAGAGTAGACGAAGAAATGAGAGACAGAGACTTAGAGGAGGATGCCTATGGATTGACAGAGATGGTTGAAGATCGGGAATCAGAAGACGTAGAACGTTATGGAACCGATAATTATATAGAGAATTAAAGGCACTTTCAAACATATCTAGTTGAAATCCAATTTCTCATATGCAGTTGAAGATATGAGCAATTATTCCTGACCGTGTCAGAATTCCACAAATATCCCAAAGCTAGAGATGAAAACTCTCTTTTTTTTTTGAAACTGTGATTTGAAAATGATTTTAGACTTGCTCGTTCCATTAGAAAATTAAAAATTGGAAAAACCTTCAAGGATTTTTGAACTTTTTGTATGAAATTTGGATTTTTATTTTGTTATCTTGGTACCCAGTTGGTTCTGATTAGGTTCTCTGTCCTCCAGCGTATAATAATGAAGACAAGTTTGGCATATCTTTATTGTAGGTACTTTTGGTTGGTACTTTGTCTTCCTAAAGTTGTTTTTTGGAAATAATTGAATATTTATAAAAGCATATAATTGACTTGGGGTGAAAACAGCGCATTTCCCCAACGAAATTACTTTCATTCCACGATTAAGGGCGGGTATTACAAAACTATTTTCATTTCAGAAGTTAATGTCGAAATAGTTTTATAATACCCACCCTAAGGAAGCTTTACTTGAAAAAGGAAAAATCCGCACAAGAAGTTTTAGAAAGCAGTTCTTTTGAAGTCCTCTCCAATTAGACAATCCTTTTATTTTAGAACTAATTCAACTCCCAGTAAATACATATTGTTCTAGAACTCATTAGAACATCCCGGAGGAACATCCTATCTTCTTTCTGCTATACAGACACACACACATAAAGTGGTCCTTCGAGCCGTATTTTCTAACATTACAACAAACACCTTTTATATTTTACTTACATTGTAAGGCGGTTCTATAAACTCCTATTTTAAGCCTCCGCGGCAATTAAATCCACCTTATGAGTCACTGGATATAGTCACAAAAATTAATGACCATGCGATAAAACAATAAAACTATAAAAAAAAATAAAAATAAAGTCCACTATATTACCGCGGTCACATTTTTCAAATCGAAAATAATTCTTTAATCTATGACGCGCACTTTAGTCAAAATTTAACCGATTTTGACTCACTTTTCCGTGGGTAGTTGTACCCAAATAAAAACTGTCTAGGTAAATATTACCCGGTTTGAAGATATACACTTTTATGCCGTTGTCCGTTGTGTTTCAGTCCGAAAGCATGGCGCTCGATCACTGATCCGCCGAGTGAGGAGGGTATTTCTCGGGGAACCGGAATCGATCGGGCTCGCTCGTGTAACTCCGCCCGGTTACATTCTCCACTGTAAAGTACCTTTTTACATCCTTGTGCTGTAAAAACGAAACAGCTGAATAAAAAGCTCGAAGCTCCCAGAGTTGGAGAGGGGAGAGAGAGGCGATGGTGCGGTTTCGACAACAGAAAAAAAAATCATTTTGTTTTAAGTGTAATTACCATTTTGTGACTAATGTATGTAGTTATGTTGGAGAAGCTATAACGACTGGTTTCTCGGTCGTAAATACTCTAATATGAATATTAAACATTATTATGATGGTGGTGTATTAGATTTAAGCTGAAAAACAAGACGTTAACTGTTTGGAAACCGTTCGGGAAATACATACTTTCCGCTTTTGTTTTAGGCAATTATTTCTTTTCCGACTTGTAAATAAAATGAATCGCAGAAATCCTTGATAGACATCAAAATACAAAAATACATCCATTATTAGTTGTCGAAAAAATATTGTACGCAACAAACCTGGAATGTGTTCTTTTGGACTTTCAAATCTTGTCTAGGTACGTCCAAGAAAGCAGTACTTACTTCACGTAATTTATTAGGTATTTATTTCCGTAATGTTTTGATGCAATTTTAAGCTCGAACAGCCCTGTCAGCATATTTCTTTATATACGTTTGTTCAAAGGTAGAAGATCCAAAGTAACAAGAAGCTAGACGACTTAGCCCCAGCTCAACGTCTCCAAAAAGTTCTTTCAGAAAACCACTAAAGCGGAATTGGTCTGCTAAAAAAGCCAAACGGAGAACACTGTACCGACCATATAGAAAGTCTAGAGGTACTACAAGAAACTCACTTTCCAGGTTCGGTAATCGTTGAAGCCCTGAACCAGGTCACTCCGCCTATCGACCCAAAGCACTAACGGCAGGAGCAAAAGGCTGGCTGGGAAAATCTTCACAATGAACAGAATAAAATAGGCGATTGATAGCTTCAGATCCTACAAATCTCCAGGCAAAGACGGGATCTTTCCCGCACAACTGCAAAAAGGCTACGAATACGTAAAGGTACACCTACAAAAGCTTCTTAAGGCAAGCCTGCTCCTAGAGAACATACCGCTATCTTGGAGAGAAGCTAATGTGATATTCATACCAGAAACGGGTCGGCAACCTGAGGACGAACCAAAATCATATTGTCCCATTAGCCTAACCTCCTTCCTTTCTCCTTAAGACAATGGAGAAAGCAATTGACCAGTACATCAGAAGCGAAATTCTATTGAGAAGACCGCTCTACTCAAAGCAATTTGCTTATCAGCCAGGCAAATTCACAATAAGTGCTTTACACTGCCTGGTTAAAAACATTGAAAAGACAATCGAGTGCTACTGCTACCACGGTCAGAGGGTGTCTTCAAGGGGGTGTTATTTGTTCACTAGTATGGCACTGGTGGTAGACAACATTCTTACCAGACTGAGTAATGCTGGATAACAGGTCATAGGCTATGCAGAGGACCTGGCCACTATAATCAATGGCAAACATGAAGGCTTAATGACAAGCCAAATGCAAAGTGCCCTAAATATCGTTAAAGATTGGAGCAAAGGAGAGGGATTATCCCTAAACGCAAACAAAACAATCCTTGTCCCGTTCACAAAAAGAAGGAAGCTAAATTTGAAATCCCCCACCCTTAACGGTACACAACTGACATTTTCCAACAAAGTGAAGTACTTAGGGGTCACCCTGGACCGAACACTCACTTGGAACAAACAGTTAGAGAAAACATGCTCTCGAGCTACATCAGCCATCTGGGTCATGCCGAAAACTTGTTGGCAAAACATAAGGGCTAAAGCCAAAGATGGTATTCTGGATTTACCAAACTATAGTAAAGCCCATGATCACATATGCCTCATTGGTGTGGTGGCCCAAAACCCAGCAAGTCACCGCTCAGATCAAGCTAAGAAAGGTACACAGGCTCATATGTCTAGGAATAACCAGGAGCAATGTCACCTTGCCCCACCGCAGCCCTAGAGACGCTTCTCAACATGCCCCCACTTCACCTATGTGTGAAAAAGGAGGCAATAACCAGCACTCATAGGCTATTTCCAAACAGACAAGTTCAAGCCTGGTGATCTGAAGGGACATCTGCGCATCCTTGATTTAATAAAACTGGAGAATGCCAGCAAACCAAGTGACCACATGATGGTCAGATTGGACTTAGAGAGATCCCATTCGCAGTGTTAATAAACGACCGCCAATAGATATAATATGTGCACAAGAGTGTCTTAACCAAAGCCTCAAAAGAAAACACATCTTCATATTATCGGACAGCCAAGCTGCCTTAAAAGCCTGCCCTTAAGGCAAGGTCAAAACAAGTCTGGGAGTGGAAACAGACCCTAAAAACACTAGCAACACACACCAGGTAAAGCTGATGTGGCTGCCTGGTCCTCGAGGCATAGAAGGAAACGAAGAAGCAGATGGCCTCGCAAAAGAAGGGGCCTCAACACCATACCATAGACCAGAGCCCTACTGTGGCTTAATGAAAAGCCACATCATGGAAGAACTCAAAAAATGGGAAAAAGACTAACTGTCATCATTTTGGAGGCACACTTCGGGACTCAGACAGTCAAAAAGGTTTATTACCCTTTCAGCAAAAAGAGTTCCCAAACATGAGCAGACCAGACATCAGATTGGTGCCTGGTGGTAGGACTGCTCACAGGACACTGCCTGGTAAAATACCATTTCAGGTTAATGGGCAGAGTAAAAGACGATCTCTGCAGATTCTGCTCAGACGCAATAGAGACCGCAGAGCACCTACTCTGCGAATGTCCAGCCCAATTCTGCAAGAGGCTCAAATTCCTCGAGGGGGCAACACTGTCACCAGAAGAAGTGGGCCAACTGATACCCAGGAAAATAGCTTCCTTTGGCAGAAGTCTACGTTTCCTGGAGACAACTTAAGATGTAGAGTCACGTACAAAATATCTGTAAAGGTAGCAGTGCTGAGCGGCTGAAAAGCCGAAACGACTCCCTCAAAATCTACAATCTACAACAAGAAGAAGATATCTAGTACCTATTGAGAACGAACGAAATATAAAATTTGAAAATTGAAAGGAATCATTTGAGCAAATTCAATTTAGTTGAAGCACTATTCTTGCACTGAAGGATTGAATGGAGTAATCGAACAAATCAAAGTTGATACCAATAGGTATAGTTTCACAGAAAAGTGTAAAGATCCATAATTTATCCGCTGAAATCTCTCCTCAAGAAGTTGTTTTTGTCTGGTGCATCAGGATGATGAAGAAAACAACATGACTTTGTTCCTGCAAAAAAAAAATCAATTTCCAACGTTCTCTGATCGTCCTGCAGTGTAAAGCAGTAGCTAGAAGCAGATGGATTTCACCTCGTTGAATAGCTTGAGGTTATTTGCGTAGAAGTCGTAATTTAGATGACTTAAACTCTGCTACATGGTTGATAAACAGAGGAGAAACAGCACTGGTCCAAGATGGGAGCCTAAAGTAACAATTATTTCTTCATTCAGTTTTCTTCAGTCAGAACACAAGCAGGAGTTATATTCTTCCAATAAGAAACTGGTGATATTCGCCTTCTCATCACAAATGCAATCCGTCTGTATGTCTTAAAGAAGTCATCGGTAAAAATAAACTCATTAGCTTGACAGCAGTGACATTGATCCGTAGTTCGTTCTGTGCGTAGTTCTCCACGGTGTTTCTGGCTCCAGAACTGAAAATCGGAGAAACTGTGGATTGTTGCCATGTTGAGGGAAATAAATCCCAAGCCATAGATCTCTGCAAAACAATTCGAATATCCATGAACTATCGATCGAGGCAAGCAATACTGCGAGTGTTGATAATAACTTCGCATAAGTGATCATCATGGTTGTTATGTAAGTGTCTGGAAAATGATTCATCTACTTTCTCTAGTCTACTACCTTTACACTGCAATATCCTCCTGTTCTATCTAAAGCTATGTCCACACCAAAGAAACATTTTGTTGCTGGTTTCCGCAACCTGTTTATGGAAATAGAAACAACAGCAAAAGTTCCGTAAACATTCTGTCCACACCATGGTTACTTATTTTTATGAATATTTCGCTGTGTTGCTGCAACAGTAAACGCTATATCTACACTAGCAGTGTGTGTTCCTAGTTTCAAAACAATGTGGAGCGACGAATATTTACATACACACAACGGCTAAGTAGTAAGTTTCGAGTTTTGGGAACAAACAACAAGGTGTCCACACTGATAAAAATTAAGTTGCAAACATTATATTTTTACCAATGTTCCTATATTTCCTTTGTTATTTGTCGCTAGATATGGAAACAAGCAACTTATAGGAACTTTTGTTGTTGCAACCGTAAACAATAAGCAACTTGAATAAACTCCTGAAAACATACAGAAACAAGTTCCAGGAACAAGCAACATAAACACAATCTTTCTATATGTTCCTATCGGTTTGGACGTAGCTTCAGAGACCTGGGAATAACAACTTCAACGCCTGAAACGAAATTTAGATAGTCAGAAATCCACGAGAGATTTATATTCTTGAGTACTTAATCTTTGTATTCTGTGAAAATCCAGTTTTATCAGGTTTTGAAGTTGAGAACTATGAGAAGATGTCAAATAGATCACGAGAAGACCACTCATTGGAAACCAGTTCGCTGATTATTTTCCAGGATATGCCATCTCTTGAAGTGTTTTAAGATTTGTTAAATTTCAAGCACATATGTGGAACTCAAAATTCTACTTTCAAAGAACCGTTCTCTTCGCCTAACGGCTCGGTGGATGAAACCCTGTATATAGCTACTCTTGTTTAATTTTGATTACTCCACCATAGAATACATGCTTACATCATGTTCTGCCAGCGCACGAAAAGTGGCTCTTTTCTCTAAGTAAGTTTTCAATGAGATATCAAGCATAAGGTAGCTTCCTAACTCCATACAGTAAATTATTCTGAGATTTTTAGCCGGATTCTATGAAAAAAGGCACTCAGAAAAAATGAAAA